TTCAAGTTCGGTTTTAGTAGAGTTTAAATCTATTGGTCCCATTTCGAATTTGGGCAGAAACGCGGACAATTAAACACAATAAAAAAACGAGCTTTCAAACATCGTGCGTAAAAATTTTTTAACTAGTAACTAGTAACGGTACATACAGAAATCTGTATTTAGGTTTTTCATTTTTGCGATGGCTTTGTTTCTTTTCTTTTCTAGCAGATACTTATCGGGACGAAGGTCGGCACAAATTTTTTTTTTGGCACACTGCGTGCAATTGTTGTTGCAGCAAACTCGGAGAGAGCGAGTTGGCGTTCCCACGACAGTCGGGTCTACGTAACCGGAGCGACCCAGATAGATATGTATCTGGCCAAGGACTGCCACCACTCCAGCAACTCTGACGGTGTTATAAAGGATTCAGTTGAATACATGGGACACTTTTATGCCTTATTAATAAATAAGAGTCTTGAATCAGGAACAGTACCAAAAGAATGGAAAATCTCGACCATAGTTCCGGTAAAAAAAGTGAAAAAAACTGTAAAAGCCGAGGAAATTAGACCAATTAATACACTGCCTAGCATGGAAAAAATCTTGGAAAATGTGGTAAAAAATCAGTTGGCGCGCCACATTGAAAGTAATAACATACTCATTAAGGAGCAATCAGGTTTTAGAGCTAAACACTCTTGCGAGACTGCGCTAAATTTTGTTATATCCCAGTGGAAGGAAGACCTTAACTCGAAGATGAATATCGTTGCGGTTTTTATTGATCTCAAAAGAGCTTTCGAGACCATTGACAGGGCAAGAATGTTGAAAAAGCTCGAATGCATTGGTATTGAAAACACGGAGCTTAACTGGTTTCGAAGCTTTCTCTCAGATCGTATGCAACAAACTGTAATCGAGTCAAGTGTGTCAAATAAAGTGGCAGTCAATATTGGGTTGCCGCAGGGATCGGTATTGGCCCCAGTACTTTTTAATATTTACATTAACGACATAAATATGGCACTCAAGCACTGTAAGTTAAAACTGTTCGCTGATGATACACTGTTAACGATCAGTGACAGAAACTTACAGACTGCGATGACTAAAATGCAAGAAGACTTGGATTCTTTGTACAAATGGTTGTATTTAAATAAACTTAAGTTGAATGTAAAAAAGACACAGTTCATGATCCTCACTAGAGCAGTTAATCTTGGAACCACCAGTTACAATTTAAAAATCAAAGAGGAAGAAATTGAGGAAGTTAAACTCATTAGGCACCTGGGTATATATATAGATAATAAACTTAAATTTGATGAGCATGTTGAGCATACAGTGAACAAAATTGCAAAAAAAATTGGTCTTATGAAAAGATCTTGTAAGTATCTGAGAAGAAGGTATAAAACCCTGGTCTATAGATCTATAGTAGAACCACATTTTATATACTGCCCAACAATCTTCTTCTTAGCAAGCGACGCAAATATCGAGAAATTGCAAAAAATGCAAAATAGAGCTATGAGGTTCATATTAAATAAGCGTTACGATACACCTACACAGGAGATGATCACAGATATGAATTGGTTGAGTGTTAAGCAACAGGTTTTCTATCATGCTATGAAATTCGTATACAACATAAAGAACGGTAAACTTCCAGACTATCTGAGCGACAATCTTCGGTATATAAATGAAACTCATTCATATATACTCAGGGAAAACAATTGCTTTAGACTCCCACTTTATAGAACAGAGGTAGACAAAAAAAATATATTTTATAAAGGTTTAAAGTGTTTTAATGAGTTACCGCCACATGTAAAAGACTGTGATAATTTGTTGCTTTTAAAAGACAACTATTTGATCACTGTAAAACTCTGGCTATTAGGTAGGAGAGCACGGAACGGAATGGAAACCTGGCCTTTCCATCCGACCAAGCAGCAAATGATCTAGCATACGAAAGCTTCCGACTATGCCCAACAGCCCGACCATAACGCGGAGCGGAAACTAGACCTTTCCGCCCGCCTCACATCACGGAATCCAGCGTCAGGCATATTAATGACGACGGGAACATGGATCGGAGACTCGGCCTTTCCGACCGTGACTATCAACTCGTGAGCAACGCGGAGCGGAAACAAGGTCTTTCCGCCTGCTGCACATAGTACATATTTAAAGATAGACTGGAGACTAGGCCTCGCCAGCTACCAAACTAGTTAGACAATATACATTTATATAGGTTATTTGATAGTTTTAGAAACATAAACAGCTTTGTAATTGAAAATTTAACCTTACATATACGCATACTTTGTTATATATTAAAAATACCTATCTGTACTTTTAAGTCGCAAGACTGTAACAAATAAATAAATAAAACACTCCCCAAAATCTCTTTGGGGAATTTGTATGCTGTTACAACAACAACAACAGAGCGAGTTTGGCGACTAATTACCTTCCGTTTTATATTTAATTTTAGAAATAAATCACTAAAGACTCGCTATAAAATGATGCTCAAAATAAATTTTTTCAAAAAAAATTTTTTTTTTTTTAAGTAAAAACCACTTTTTAATTTCTTCAAGAATATGGTAGCTTCAATTTAAAATAAAATGTCAAAAGCACAGTTTATGTCCATGTTTTATGTCAAATGGGAGCAATGGCGAATAAGAAGTGAAAATACCTTTAAATATTTGTATCATGATAATAAGCAACTCGAGTTTCCATGAACCAAAAATACAAGATCACGCCAGCAAACCAGTGGTCCGTTATAATCGCATTTAGGAAAAAAGTTGGGCGATTTTGACTAGCCG